CCTGAACAGGGCTGCTCTCCGACGCCTGAACAGGGCTGCTCTCCGACGCCTGAACAGGGCTGCTCTCTAACACCTGAACAGGGCTGCTCTCTGACGCCTGAACAGGGCTGCTCTCCGACGCCTGAACAGGGCTGCTCTCTAACACCTGAACAGGGCTGCTCTCTGACGTCTGAACAGGGCTGCTCTCTGACACCAAGACATCTGCAGGGGGGAATACTTCATCTTGGGACGTCCCTATTGTGCTGTCTGCAGGGTTGCTGTTGGATAGGGAGGCCTCAGGAGAGCCAGGTGTGGGGCTGCTGGCAGCTCCATTGTCTCCCGAGGGCTCGGTGGTCATCTATGCCCTTTGCTACTTGTGGTTTGAGGGATTGGCCACAGCCCAGCTTGGCTGAGCTGTCCATTTGGTGAGGTCACAGGGGGATGTGGATAGCTAGTGATGTCACAGGTACCTGCAGAGCAAGGTCCTGAGCATCTGGAATGACCTTGTAGGTGGGCTGAGGATATGGGACAATTCGTGGTTGGGTTTTCAGATCTGTAGGGAAATTGACAAGTCTTGGGAAAGGGTGGAGGTATATGTGCAGATGCAGCCACAGTCATGGGGAGTCACAATGGCCGCCATGACTGGCAAATAAGAAGGGGATGCAGGTGTTGACTGAGAATCATTGTTTATAAAGAACTCCCCTGGCAACTCTGAACCAGTGCCTCAGGACCCCAATTTAGCCAGACTTTCTGCAGGGTAAGTAGGAATAAACAAAGGCCAAGGGCTTGAGTGCTCCTAGCCCTCATCTTCGGCTGTGGGGTTAACCCTTTTGACACAGAACAAATAATCTACTTCTCCCACTTAACTGGGCTGGGAGGGCAGAGAATAACAAAAACAATGCACAAATCCCTTGAGTATTCCTTGGAGAAGTATAGACACAGGTAAACCTACTTGTGCTTATGGTTCTCGTTAGGAAGGTGATTGGGGTAGAAGGTTCCAGGCTGTGGTGTCTATGCTTCTCCAGGGGTTATCAGCTAACATTTAGTGACTGCTTATCAAAGGCAAGAGAAGGAGATAAGCATCCTTACAGGGACTTCTCATCTCTAGGTGGGATGCAGATTTATCAAGATACCCAGAGGGAATAAGGAACTTACTCAAAGTCTCCTAATAAGCCCAGAGTCCAGGATTTGAATCCTGTCTGGCTTTACAACTCGAGCTCTTCAGCACTCTCTAATGCCAGGAGGGATATTAAAAATACTGAATAATTAGAATGACTGGCTGCAGTAAGGATACATTTCCTAGCCTCCCCTGCAGGGAAGTAAGAACTTGTGATTGTGTTCTGGCAAGTGGGTAGCAGCAAGTGCGAGCTGGGGGTTATAACACCCTCAGTATTGTCACAGGCAGACAAGATCTACCACCCCCACTCCTGGTCTCCATTCCCCTGGCTGCTCATTTCCCTCAAGCCCTTTCTTTTTCTTTTTTTTTTTTTTAGATGGAGCCTCAAGCTATCCCCTTGGGTAGAGTGCAGTGGCATCACAGCTCACAGCAACCTCCAACTCCTGGGCTCAAGCGAGTCTCCTGCCTCAGCCTAGTAGCTGGGACTACAGGCGCCCGCCACAATGCCTGGCCATTTTTTGGTTGCAGCCATCATTGTTGTTTGGCGGGCCCAGGCTGGGGATTCAAACCCGCCACCTTAGGTGTATGTGGCTGGCACCTTAGCCGCTTGAGCTACAGGCGCCGAGCCCCCTCAAGCCCTTTCACTGAATCCCCTTAGCCAGCCTCAGGCTTGACCCTCTAAGGTGACTCCCATTCTTCTGAGCACCAGGCTTAATGCTCAGTAGGTATTCTCCCTGTGGGGACCCTGCTGCCACACTAAAAGTCACAAGGCAAAAAGGTTCATAAAGGATCCTTCAAACCTCTGAACACCTTTTTGCTCTTTTGCCTTTATGCTATCCTGCTAATAGGAATGTGAAGCCTGGCGCAACAGCAGCCATCTTAGTCCCTGAGGTAATCTTGAGGGTGGAAAACACACACTGAGATGGTGGGCACAAAGATGGAAGGGACTCTGGTCCCATGGTCAAAGCCGTCATGCTAGCCATCAGACTATTGCCAACCTCCATAATTTGTTTTTGTGAGAGAAGATAATCCCATATGTACTCAAGCTATTGTTACTTGTGATATTACATGCAGCTAAACTTAATTCTCACCCAATTGTGACAATTATAAGATTTCTGTCAGGTTCTGTGTTTGCTTGAGTTACCTTCCAGTCCTAAACAAAAGCAGCATATTGCATTGAATGCCGGTATGTCTGGCCATGTGCAGGTGTTATTCTCTCTTTTGGGGTAGGAAAACAGACGTAGAGAAACTAGGTGGACAGCAAGCTCAATGGTTTCTGCCTGACTCCAAAGCCCCCACATCTCATGCTTCTTCTTGCTTCTGGTTAGAAAGTTGTTTTTTTCTCCATCTTTATTAAGGAAGTAAAAACTATATACCAGTACCAGTATTTAAACTATATGACCCAACTCAGTGTTTTGTTTTTTTTTTGTAGGGACGGAGTCTCACTTTATCACCCTCAGTAGAGTGCCATGGTGTCACACAGTTCACAGCAACCTCCAACTCCTGGGCTAGGCGATTCTCTTGCCTCAGCCTCCCAAGTAGCTGGGACTACAGGCACCTGCCACAACGCCTGGCTATTTTTTTATGGCGGTTTTGGCCGGGGCTGGGTTTGAACCTGCCACCCTCAGTATATGGGGCCGGTGCCCTACTCACTGAGCCACAGGTGCTGCCCTCCTCTCTGTTTTTGATATCCATTAGACTATGAAATAATTGCTATAATCAAGCTAATTAACATTTACTGTCACCTCATGTATTGCCTGTTTTTCAGATAGGCTCTCGTTCTGTTGCCCAGGCTAGAGTGCAGTGGTGTGCTCATGGCTCACTAAGCCTTGAACTCCTGGCTCAAGCCTCCCTCTCAAGCAGCCAGGACACAACAGGTATATACCACCATGCCCGGCTAGTTATTTTTATTTATTTTTTGCAGAGATGAGGTTGCCTAGGCTGGTTTGAACTTCTGGCCTTAAATGATTCTCTTATCTGGGCCTCTCAAAGTGCGTGCTGGGATTATAGATATGAGCCATCAGCCTGGCCTTTTTTCTTTAATATGTGTGTAGTTGAGAATAGTAACAAAGTTCACGTGGCCCACTAAAACTATCAGGTGCTCTTCATAGGCACTGAGGCCAAACTCCTTTTCCTCACGTTCCATTTGGAATTCAATTTTTGATTTTGCCTGTTTAACTTTACACTTAACCTTGTTAGGTTTCATATGCCTTAAAAATCTGTGCCAAAGCCTGGGCACGGTGGCTCATGCCTATAATCCTAGCACTATGGGAGGCTGAAATAGGAAGATCCCTTAAGGCCAGCCTGGAAAACACAGAGAGGCCTCATATTTACAAAAAATTAAAAAATTAGCTAGGCATGGTGACATACACCCGTATAGTCCATATACTTGGGAGGCCGAGACAGGAGAATCGCTTAAGCCCAGCAGTTCAAGGTTACAGTATTCTATGATTGTTTCAGTGCAGTCCGGCCTGGGCAACAGAGTGAGACTTTGTGCCAAAGAAGGATAGAGGAGAGTAAAGAACTGATGTCAAAAGGAGGATTATTTGGCTTGGCGCTCAGCAATTAGGGTGCTGGCCACATACACCAAGGCTGGCAGGTTCGAACCTGGCCCAGGCCTGCTAAACAACAATGACAATTAGAACCAAAAAATAGCTGGGCATTGTGGTGGGCGCCTGTAGTCCCAGCTACTTGGGATGCTGAAGCAAGAGAATCACTTAAGCCCAAGAGTTTTTTTTTTTTTTTTTTTTTTGTAGAGACAGTGTCTCACTTTTTCGCCCTCGGTAGAGTGCAGCGGAGTCGCTCCAGCAACCTCCAACTCCTGGGCTTAGGCGATTCTTCTGCCTCAGCCTCCCAAGTAGCTGGGACTACAGGCGCCCGCCACAACGCCCGGCTATTTTTTGTTGCAGTTTGGCCGGGGCTGAGGTTTGAACCCGCCACCCTCGGTATATGGGGCCGGCGCCTTACTCACTGAGCCACAGGCGCCTCCCAAGCCCAAGAGTTTAAGGTTGCTGTGAGCTATGACGCCGCAACACTCTACCAATGGCAACATAGTGAGGCTCTGTCTCAAAACAAAAACCAAAATTATTGAAATTGAGGGACAAAAAAAAATTGTTTACTTATAGATATTTAAGATACCGATAAAGGAATAATCTTTTTTTTTTTTTTTTGAGACGGAGCCTCAAGCTGTCCCCCTGGGTAGAGTGCCATGGCATCACAGCTCACAGCAACCTCCAACTCCTGGGCTCAAGAGAGTCTCCTGCCTCTGCCTCCCAAGTAACTGGGACTACAGGCACCCGCCACAACGCCCGGCCGTTTTTTGGTTGCAGCCATCATTATTGTTTGGCGGGCCCGGGCTGGGAATTTGAACCCGCCACCTTAGGTGTATGTGACTGGCGCCTTAGCCGCTTGAGCCACAGGCGCTGAGCCAGAACAAACTTTATATTCTGTGTTTATGTGGGCTATATGCTATATTTTCGGTATATTTTATATACAAATGTGTAGAAAATAAAAAATAAAATATACACAAAAGAGCTTCACCCCTAAATTTAGTTCAAAAGCTTTGTACCTTTATTAAGTAGTCTTCATAAGAGGAAGTTAGCCTCAATTAACTTGCCTTTAATTTCTTTTTCTTCTTCTTTTTTTTTCTTTTCTTTCTTTCATTTTTTTTTTTTTAAGAGACAGAGTCTTACTTTGTCACCCTCGGTAGAGTGCTATGGTGTCACAGCTTACAGCAACCTCCAGCTCTTGGGCTTAGGTGATTCTCTTGCCGCAGCCTCCTGAATAGCTGGGATTACAGGTGCCCACTACAAAGCCTGGCTATTTTTGGTATTACAGTTTGGCCGGGGCCAGGTTTGAACCCACCACCCTCAGTATATGGGGCTGGCACCCTACTCACTGAGCCACAGGTGCACCCACCTTTAATTTCTTTTTAACTCCTTTCTCTTAGGGAGAATGATTCTCCTATTAATAATTTTAGGGTAAACTCAGTTTATGGGATATTATACATCTATATAAAGCCTACACAGAAACAATGTTGTTACATGGTTTTACTTTAAAAGGCAGGATATAGCTGGGTGCAGTGGCTTATACCTCCCAGCACTCTGGGAGGCTGAGACAGGTGGATTGCTTGAACAAGACCCTGTCTCTAAAAAATAGCCAGGTGTGGCTCGGTGCCTGTGGCTCAAGCAGCTAAGGCGCCAGCCACATACACCTAAGGTGATGGGTTCAAATCCAGCCTG